TCTGTAAACTATAGTTTACAATCGTAAACTATAGTTAAGAGTTGTTAATCATAGTTTCACAAATCGTGAAACTATATTTGTCAGATCGTTAACTATAGTTTACGGTTTGTAAACTATAGTTCACAAATCGTGAAACTGTATTTATCGTATTTATCAGATAATCTATGTTTTGCAATCGCAAATGATTGTTTTCGGTGTTAAGTATAGTTTACGGTTGTGAAACATAGATTATCGCGTTAACTATATATGGTTTACAGATGTGAAATATAGATTAACGTTGTTAACTATAGTTTACAGTCCGTAAACTATAGTTTACAACCGATAAACCTAGTTTATCGATTTTGAAACTATGATTATTTCATTTTTGTGAATTTGGCGTGCCATATCTATATTTTACATCTGTAAACCATAGTTAACGCGATAATCTATGTTTCACAACCGTAAACAATACTTAACACCGAAAACAATCATTTGCAATCGCAAAACATAGATTACCTGACAAATACAGTTTCACGATTTGTAAACTATGCTTTACAACTCGTTAACGTTTAATTACAGACAGATAAACTTAGATTAGCATTCGTAAACAATAGTTAACAACCGTTAAATATAGTTTTACAATTGAAAACTATACTTAACGAATCGTTAACTATATAATATGGCACGCCAAATTCACAAAAATGAGATAAACCTAGTTTCACAATTGATAAACTGGGTTTATCGACTGTATACTATAGTTTACAAACCGTAAACTATAGTTAACGATTCGTTAAGTATAATTTTCATCTGTAAATATATATTTAACGAATGTTAATTATAGTTTACGAATGATTATCTAAGTTTATCTGTCTGTAATAAGCGTTAACAATAGATTTTGTTGATAAACATAGATTCACGTTTGTAAACTATAGTTTACAATCGTTAACTATAGTTAAGAGTTGTTCATCATAGGGCGAATTTGTTTCTTAAAAACTGGGTTTAGTTTTGAACCAATTTTGTAAACTGTTCATTTGTTCCACAAACTGGTTTTAAACTAGTTTAAACCCAGAACCGGTTTTCCATTTGTTTTGGCTGTAACTGAAACCAGTTCGTTAAACCAACCAAACCACCTCGGATGGTGGTTTATTCGGTTTACGAAAGAGTGGGAAGTACTCCAATATGGCGGTGATGAAAGATGGTGACTATTCTAATCAAGAAAAAAGTTATAAATAATTGTTTTTTTTTAGGACAGACATCTCTTTTGACTAAAATGCCACATTCTGATATTTGATGTTTTATATATAAGGCTTCAGAGAATATATAGATGCTGCATATTGAAAATAATGGTGTTTGTTCAATAAAAATGAACAGAATATGTTAAATTTTCCTTTTCAAAAATAAGTTTTGAATCATTTGGACAAACTTCAACATGTATGCAGATAAATTGTAGAACATACTGTAAAGACAGTTGAAATATTGGAAATTTAAAGAGTCATTATAAATACCCGAGTGTTTATCTTTCCATGTATCAAAAATGTGGAAATAGTTAATTGATTATAATCTTTGATGCATTAAAAGTATAAATACTAAACTAAACTTTATTTCTTGGATTCTTTTATTAAGAAAAAAAATTAACAATTTAATGTGTAATTTGTTTAATGCATGTTCTGCATCTTTTTGACGCCATCTGTATAAACTGTTCATTTGTTTTACCGAAATAAACCGGATTGAAATTTAAACCAGTTTGAAAAACTAGTTTTAAACCTTAAACCAAATCCTGAACCAGTTTTTGAGCAACAAATTCACCCTATGATTTGCTCATTTTTGTGAATTTGGCCTGCCATATATATAGTTAACGGTTTGTAAACTATAGTTTACAGTCGATAAACCTAGTTTATCAATTGTGAAACTAGGTTTAGCTCATTTTTGTGAATTTGGCTTGCCATACCTCTGACATGGACCATGGAGTTTGACATACTTTTAAATAAAAACGCTTTGCCATGTAACTTTTAAACAGTTAGGACTATGGCTTTCATACTTCACATATTATATGATCCTTGTGACAATTAAGTCCTTTCTGTATAGAAACCAACAACTTTGACCCTTTGACCTTGACCCCGGAGTTTGGCCTACCTTTAAAAACATATCCTTGGCTATAACTTTGGAACAGGTTGTGCTAGGGTTTTCATATACATGTATTTCACAATTGCATTTCTTGTGAGAGAACCTTACTTTGGGTACAAACATATTTAATTTGCCTTTAATAAAAGTTCAATCTTCGTTATGTTGCCATACGGGGGCATCAGTATTTCAGAAACACATCTTGTTTGTTTTTAGCTTTTGCAAAGATAGTCATAATATAGGCTTTGGAAATTGGCGCTTTAATCACAAACATTTTTGAAAATATGCCCCTCTAATCGAAGATTCGGAGGTACATAGTTTTTGCCCTGTCCGTCCGTCAGAGCTGTGTGTCAAAAAGTTTAACATTGCCCATAACAGGCTATGGCTTTCAGAATTTCACATGTGCTAACGGTATTCCTTGTACTTATCTGTTAGAACTGAAGTTGAATATCATATATTGATAAAAGGATCACTTCATTATAAATAGGGATCTGACCTATAGGACCGGGCTCGGTTTTATTCCCTACAAAAAGCTTGTCGATATCCGTTCTGATTAATGACATTAGGCTGAATACATATAACAATTTGTTTTTCCTAAATCTTTATTTCAGTGAGTAGAGATTGGAGGAACCCTCTTTATTGATTTTCTTAGTTTGTTATCTCCAAATGTGTAAACTTTAAATATAGGCTATTTATCCGTGGATATAATAAAAACTTGTCCTTAATGTGTGCAAATCATAAAGGCATAAATGAAATCCAACGGAGTGCATTTAATGAAATATGTAGCCAGAATCAATTTGATTAAATTCTAAGGAATATGTACAATTGAATTCATCGCAGCTCAATCCCAAGAATACCCGTATTGAGTAACACAGAGTGAGTTATTCTTGTCATCGGAGAAAGTGTGCCTATACTGAGGTTCGTTCCACCTGACTGACAACTGTACATTGGATTGTTACGATTTGATATCTCTTTAGTGTTTCATATATCAAGAATGGGCATGCATAGGGGATAGAAAATTGACGGAAAAATACACAAGTCTATAAAAAAAATTAAAATGGTCTTTGAAAAGGCGAAATTTAAAACTTTATAAGTGTTGTACCAGGTGGATTCGAACCCCCGACTTTAAAAAGAGAGTATCCAAAGTATAAAAGTCAGCGCATATATCAACTGAGCTAGTCTGACTATAAGAATGAGTGGCGTAAATTTAAAGCAGATTATGAAAATCTGGTTTCCTAATTTTTTGTAGGTTTTTTGTGAATTTCGACCCCAGGGCAGGGGTGCCCCTAAAAAAATCTTATCTTAAATTATTCCTTACATAGTAACCTATCAAAATATCACAATTTTATTTAGGGGCATTTGATTTCAAGGCCAAAATTCATGCAAAAATCAACGCTTTAAAGGACAAAATGGTGTTTCGATCAACTTTGGAGGTTTATTGTAAAGTTGCAAATAATAAATTTTAGGTATAAAATACAAATTAAAAACATTTAGACACATATACGGTAGAAAACAACAATTAAAGACTGATTTTTACATGTCACCTTTTCCGGGAAATTGTTCTTTACTATAGGTCAATTCTTTTGTTAAAGCGAATACATCCTTTGATGAATAAAACAACACTGTTGCTATTGTTACCAAGAAAGGAAAATGTTCGATTTTGTGAACTTTATATCAATATTAAACCCTGTGTGCCAACTTCTTGCATCCACTGAGAGATTGGATGATACCATGGTAGTTAAAATTAAAAGTCAAGTAAGCTGTTAATAAATATCAATCATAAAAGTTTTGGGAATCTATGTACATTTAAGGGTATGTATCCAAGGAAAGAAAATATTTTTCAGGTTTTTAAGCATATATTTTCTGCATATTTCCATAGCAACGCTCTATTTAAAGAATCTAATCTTAATTTTTTCAAATGGGAAAACTTTGAGCACACCAACATCTTATAAAAGTAATCATTAGTTATGAGGAAATGTGCTTTTTTTAAAAGATAACATCAGATTTAAACATACAGAGTGTAAATTTGAAGGCTCTCTTTCGTATAAAAACCTTGGCAACCATTGCCAACCAAAATGAAATATCATATTTTGTTCTTAGTATATTTTTCAAGGCTCTTTTTTCTATTAGTTGGTCACATTTCATCCTATAATTGCTTTTTATTTTTACATGTTTGACTTTATAAAATTCAATGAATATTTTTTTTTTACTTTTGAATACTTTGTTGCCATAGTAGCGTACGTAATAGTTGATTTACCAAACATGTTTATCATGCATTTGAGACATCTGACCTTCAACTTTTGGAAACAGTCATTGCCAATTGTTTGCTTTGCCGCAAATGTTAACTATGGGGCGCTAAACATGTTAAAAAATGCCATTTTTCGGACTTTAAGACACGTTGCCATGGTAACTATAAAACATAGCAACCAATTTTTGCCTGATTTCAGTTTAGAGTATCAATGACTTTTATCATAGAGTTTGGAGAAATTCTGAGACTATGCGTGCCACAGCTCCTATATAAAATTTAAAATAATTACAGAGAATGGCTCTTAAAACACACAGAATTTTTTACCTTGACCTTTGACCTCAAAATTAAAAGGGATCTTCCTAAGGTCATAGGGAGTTATTATATTAAATTTCGTTGCAAAAAATCAAAATCTACTCTAGCCATGGGATTTCAGTCCACTCTTATGGGGAGCAGAGCGGACCAAAATCCCTTGGCTTGCGAAGGTATTGAAGCTCAATGGCGTCTTGAGATATTGTGAGGAAACGGAAGCATCATAGACAGAGAGACAGACATACAGACAGACGGACAGATGGACAGGTCAAAATTAATATCCCCCACTTTTAGCAGGGGACAATAATCAAAACAAAAAAATGCAGAAATGAACTCAATGTGAAAGTCAATCCAATGAACAAGTTCTGTTGGAATCTCATTCCTATCGGAAATGTTTTCCTCTATAATAACAGATGCTGCAAGACATTTAAGACTTCTGTACTTGGGATTATTCAGAATAGGATAAAATTCTGTGCCCCAGCTTGATCCAGTGCAGTTTGAAATGCATGATCTTCATTAGTTCTCTGATCTACATGCAGTCCTCTCTCTGCTGCAATCTTAACAATTCTCCTCAGCTGACCATTCCTACTTTCAACTTCGTCTTCCGGAAAACACTGGTATATATTTTCATCAAAATTTTCAATGCTAGTTGTAAAAAACCAATGCAGAATGTTCAGTTTCAATTCATTTAACTCATGAATTGAGGCTCCACTGTCTAGGAGCATCTCCATAATTTCTGGACCATGACTAAATTTATGATCGTCATCCTTATAATCACTGTCCAGTAACAACATAGGACACACGATACTATGCATCAATCCGATTGGTCCACACTCGCTGGAATTCCATGCACTGACAATGGCTTCCATTGCCTTCCTTAGATTGCAGGTATCTTCCGCTGATAAACTTCTTGATAATATAGTGTCCATCAAATATAATAAATCAAGTTTATCATTTTCAGAAGGTAAAACACCAAGTTCAATCTTCATCTGAAAGGCACTCACATGGAAAAACATTAACACATCCAATAATTCCTTTGTTGTGTATTTGTCACTGTTACAGTAAAAGTGATATAGATGAACAGGTCTCTGAGTTACATTGGCAACACTGCAAGGATCTTCATAACTTTTTATTGCTGACCTCATATCATAAAAAGTATTGAGCCTTTTATCCAAAACCTTTTCATTTTTCAGGAAATTAAAATGATATTTCAAACTCTTCCAAAGACGATGGGTCGCCATATTTTCCTCACAAACTCCTTTACATAAAAGTTCGAAATACACATTGCATCCATTCAGATAACAAAAATTGCCACATCCTATAATTCTTTCATAAATCAGGAGGCCAAGAATAAGTCTTCTCTTTTTCTCTCCTGCAGTGCAAATTAAGTCCAAAAACTCAGAATTTTCTGTATCAGGTTCTACTACACTGTCAAAGAAAATTTCCCTTCGGGGCATTTTGCTAGAATTTGGAATACTGTGTTTTCTTCTTTCAACCAAAGCACGTTTGTAGGTGTTTACTCCTCCAACGGAATCATTCTCATCGACACTGAATATCTGCTTTGCTGCATAAAATTCCAAGATTTCTATACGAGTTTCATGATTGAAGTCGCTGAAATCACTATATGTATCAATGAACTCATTCATGTCTGTAATGTGTTTATATATGATGGCATACTGTAGCGGTGTTCTTCCCTTTTTGCTACGAACTAATAACCTGGCACCCTTGCTCTTTAAAAAGTTCAGAACTTTATAGAATAAACTTCTATCGAACTTCCTTTTAAGCTCTACATTCTCTCGGTGATATTTCAGTACGTTATGCAGTGGTGTGTTACCTTTGTCATCAACACAATTCACATCCACATCTTCATCCACTAAAAATTCCATCATAGGAAGAAGATGACACTCTACAGCCAGATGAAGAGGGTTTTCAAAGTAAAATCTACATTGCAGTATCTGTTAAGTGCATGGAGAACGTCTTCATTTTCATCCACCAAAGCATGTACATACAAGTTATGTCCAAGATGTGAAACTGGTGAGAACGTTTCTACAAACTGATGAATGAAGATCTTTCTAGCCTCGTTGGCGTCAATGTCTGGTATGTCTGGGATTTTCTCAATGAAGTCTAAACACTTGGAATAAGTTGTGAGATTGTTTAAGACATGGGTGCCATATAGAGCTCTCTCGATTTCTCTCCTCCATGACTGAACTCCTAAAGATCACAAGAATGTCCTTTTGAAATTATATCTTTCCTCTGTTTATAAATATCAAAAACATTTTGAAATATCGGATCTGCCATCTTAGTTTAGTATCTGAAAAATATAGATTATTATAAATGTATAAATATATAGAAAATCCAGCCCCAGCAAAACTATTATAAACTGAGGAATCGCTGGATTTTTGCAGTGGCTCAATTTTATGTAATTCGTGGGTACCTCTTATCCATTAATTAATATTCTCTATGAATTTATAAACTCTGGTTACTAAGTAACACTTCCTTAGTAGGTTAAAGAGAATACACAAAATTACTACCCCATGAACCTGTAAAATTTTAGCAATCCACAAAAATTGGCCCTCACGATCTTTAATGATTCCATAGAACACGAATTTAATTGAAATAATTATATGTGTACATATTTGTTAACATAGGTACTAGTACTAAGTAGATTAAAATATCAATGGTTTGCACACATGCACTTCATGCAGCTGAAATGCTCAATTTTTCCATTGCAGTAATTTTACTGGTAGAGCAGTAGAGCATATCAATATGAACATTTGAACAAGATAACAAGCTATTGACAAACAAGTTGATCAAATATTGATATCAACACACTCATTCATAGTCATCATAAGGAAGGAAATGACTGCTAAAAGTCTATGCATCTTGCTTTTATTCTTATTCTTCCTACTTATTTACTAGTATAATTCTTTGGTATTATTGTAGCTATATGTCACTTTATTGTTTTCATATTAACAGGGAATGTTTATTACATTTCACTTTAAACTTTTTTATGATCTTTATTTTGTCCTTACTTTGATGTTATTCTTTTCAATGTTTTCTTTGTTTTAAATTGATACAGGCTCTTTAATAAATAATTACGACTATTACAAACATAAATTTAGTCAGGCATAAAATGAAGTGCATTCAACCAAGACCATTCATATCAGAAGAAAAAAAGAGGCCCATGGGCCACATCGCTCACCTGAGAAGCTTTGATCATTCCGTTCTTTACCAGATTTCCCCCTTGTAACACATATTGTGACCCCAACCTACCCCACTGATCATAATTTAGACAATTTGAAATCTACACTACCATAGGATGCTTTGATTCCCATTGTTAAACTTTGATTCCCCATTGTGGCCCCGCCCTACCCTCGGGGGTCATGATTAGAACAATTTAAAATCTACACTGCCCCAGGATGCTTCCACATAAGTTTCAGCTTTTCTGGCTCAGTGGTTCTTGAGAAGAAAATTTTCAAAGATTTTACCTATATATTTCTATGTAAAACTTTGATTCCCCATTGTGGCCCCTCCCTACCCCGGGGGTCATGATTTGTACAATTTAGAATCTACACTACCCCAGAATGCTTCTACATAAGTTTCAGCTTTTCTGGCCAAGTGGTTCTTGAGAAGAGGATTTTTTAAGATTTTTCCTATATATTTCCATGTAAAACTTTGATTCCCCATTGTGGCCCCGCCCTACCCCAAGGGGTCATGACATGAACAATTTAGAATCTAAACTACCCCAGGATGCTTCCACATTAGTTTCAGCTTTTCTGGCCCAATGGTTCTTGAGAAGAAGGTTTTTAAAGATTTTTCCCATATATTTCTATGTAATACTTTGATTCCCCATTGTGGCCCCGCCCAACCCCCTGGGTCATGATTTGAACACTTTGGAATCTACACTACCCCAGAATGCTTCCACATAAGTTTCAGCTTTTCTGGCCCAATGGTTCTTGAGAAGAAGATTTTAACAGATTTTTCCTATATATTTCTATGTAATACTTTGATTCCCCATTGTGGCCCCGCCCTACCCCCGGGGGTCATGATTTGTACAATTTAGAATCTAAAATACCCCAGAATGCTTCCACATAAGTTTCAGCTTTTCTGGCCCAGTGGTTCTTGAGTAGAAGATTTTTAGAGATTTTTCTTATGTATTTCTATTTAAAACTTTGATTCCCCATTGTGGCCCCGCCCTATCCCCAGGGGTCATGACTTGAACAATTTATAATCTACCATTCACCCAAGGATGCTTTGTACCAAGTTTGGTCAAAATTGGCCCAGTGGTTCTTGAGAAGAAGTCAAAATGTAAAAAGTTTACAGACGGACGGATAAGGGACAAAATGTGATCAGAAAAGCTCACTTGAGCCTTCGGCTCAGGTGAGCTAAAAAGACATAGGCTCTATTTAGTTTTACAGTATAGAGGTCATTACCTGTGAACTCGTGGAGTTTAACTATGTTTCGGCCTGTTGTATGATTGCTTTAATTATAAAATCGTTATTTAGGATGTTTTAATTATCTATTCATTTATAGATAGGATGGAGAACTTTTATCTAGACACAGAAAATAGTACAGTCAAACTTCGTTATCTTGAACCTGATGGGACTGAGAAAAAACTTCGAGATATCCGAGGATTCGAGATTATGAAGGTTAAATACTAAAAGAATATGTGAATGGGACTTCCAAATCACTTCGACATATCCATAGTATTCGAGATATCAAAGTTCGAGATGCCGAATTTCAACTGCATATATAGTCATTAGGGGCCTAAATTAATTTCATAAACTAAGTTTAAGGAAGAACTCAAAAAGTTTTGATATGAAATAGGGGAGATAGGGTGGGGGTGGGGGTGGAGACTGACTATATATGACTATATTGTGAGATTCAAAGTAGTTCAAAGTGAAATGTTATGAGCAGCTGATAAGCACAAATATGAAAACAATAAAGTGACATAGTTACAATAATACCAAACTGTTCAAAGAATAAGTAACCAGAATAAGATATATAAGATTGGGCGGTAATTCCCTTCCAAGTTCCATATAATATTTATTTAGCAAGTTTCCTATATCTTGTATATAGTCGATTCAAAGGCAATGACCTTGTCTGCAAATAGATCATTGACCTAGTTGACGTTTTTTAATACCAGTTTCCGTATAACATTGCTTCATGATATTAAGGAGCACAAGACGGGTGTGATCAGTCGACGGGGGATGCTCACCTCAACATGGCAAGTCTAAGCGAGGAAACAACATATAGCATCTAGAACTTTATGACAATATATTTCGTCTAAAAGTAAAACTGCACTGTTCCACTTACTTTCTATTTATGACACTTGTTAGGTCGTTCAAGAAATACTTCGTATATCATTATGCCCCCGCCAATAACTTTTAGTGGAGGTATCACCGTGTGACTTTCTTATTTCATATGGGTATACATTCCTTGTGATAAGACCTTTTGGGGTACCGCCAAATTTGACCTTTTGACCTTGGAGTTTGAACCACATAACTGTTGAGCGGTACATATACTTCACATTTTGTATACTTTGTGACAAGGCCCTTTATTCACCGGTTAGAACGGTGCATTTGGGGTGGCGGTGGGGCGTGACTCGGGGTGGCGGCACCGAAGCGAGAAAAACACCATCAAGGTGTGTAAACCTGAATTTTTTTCATATGTTCAGACGTCTTAGATCAGAAAATTGTATGCTACGGAAGAGAACAAATATCAACGTACCTCTGACTGTTAAGCAGCCTTTGAGAGTGCCCCGTTTTCTCAAACACTCCTCCTCACTTTTCGGGGTATGAACGTTTTCGACTTCTGATATGATATTCTGTTTCAAAATTGACCTCAAAGGGTTTTTTTGTCTCTCTTTTGTCTCGCAAGGGGGCCAGGAGAACGCTGCATGAAAAAATAATCCTTATTTCTTGGACATGCTGCCACCCCGCAAGGCATAAAAATCGCCACTAGGCGATCGTCGCATAGAGTTTGAAGCCTACATTGCCTTACCTAGTAACATATATTGACTTTTGAAGTAGGATTGAAGTTAAATTATTACTGTTGATGATGTGAGGAAAAAACCCTTTGAGGTCAATTTTGAAACAGAATAGCATGTCAGAAGTCGAAAACGTTGATACCCCAAAAAGTGAGGAGGAGTGTTTACCTTTTGACCTTGACAAATTTACTTTGTTATAACAAATTTTTGAATTCGTTAGATCAAATTTCAAAAATATTTTTACAGGTCCTAAATGGACTTACGTTTTCACAAGAGAACTTAGAAGTCAATTAATTATACTTGAAAATTCATTATTTAATGATGTTCAGTGGGCCTTTGCCAATTATTATGCCCCCTTCAAAGAATGGAGGGCATATTGCTTTGCTGCTGTCTGTCCGTCGGTCCACTTAGTTTCCGTTTTTTTTTCTTCACAACCGTTGCACATACTGAAAAGAAATTTCCGTTCATTTTCTTCACAACCGTTGCACATACTGAAATTAAATTTGGTATACAGATATATCAGACGAATATCTAGGGCTAGTTCTGTTTTAGGTACGATCGCGCCATTTTTGACAGAGTTATGCCCCTTGGACTGAGAAAAATTCAAATTATTTACAGTTTCTTCATTTTCTTCACAGGGGTTGCAAATACTGAAATGAATTTTAGTGAAACTTTGAAACTTTTTTTCACTAAAGCCCCCACAGAAATATGCAACCATATGTTTCTGCCAATTATTTGTAAATATTTATAAATACTTTCAGAGGAAAGGTAATGGTAAATGTATACAATTGTCTAAAATTCTACGATAGTTTATCTACATAACCATATATGGGGTGTTTGTTTTTATTTTCTTTTATCTCCGTAAACAGCGTCAAAACTCGATCTGCTCACCGAGTGGAAAAGTCGAGCTTAACCAAACGGTCACAGGGGGTGGGGTTGGGGGTAATATCAGTGCGTTTTTTAGGAAGAGGTTCTGAGTTTAATTCGGAGTTCGATACTTTGTGTTATTAGTACAGTCAATTCTCGAATTATCGCCATTCGATTCATCGCCATTTTCGCAATACCGCCATGATTTCCCAAGAACGTTTTTCCTGCTATATAATATTCTCTTTATAACGCCAAATTCGCATACTGCCATCCGCCACCCTGTTTTCACAACAAACGTCCATTTTTAAGTGTCAGTTATCTCGATATACCGCCACAGGTGCATGTGGTCAGTGAAGCGCGGCTAATTGGTTGACGCTATCCCTGGTGTTAAGCATGCCAAGCCAGACAAGGTACATGCAATTAAATAATCAATTATAAATTTAATAAACACTAATTTTAACATGAACTGTTATATTAAAAAATTGTTTTCTATTAAATAAAAATCATTTAATCACGGCTATGCCTTGAAAGCTGTCGTTGTAAAAGCACGCCGATAACGATATTATTTTAATGATCTCTGCTTTAAACAATAAAAATTTGCTTTAGAAATAAATATACGGTATAAATTCTGGACGTTTCATTAACAATGATGCCATTTACAATGAATTTATTCAAGAATTCATTTTAGGAACTATCGGCAATATCTTACGACGAACGACCCAGCATGTTTTTTTTTTCAATATCAGACTGCAGATTTACATGCACACACATATACTTGTCTTTATTTCATAACTGCACATTTTGTTTTAGCTAAACTGTACATAAAAAATTACTTGAAGTATTATCAAATTAAGGAGTATGTATAATTTCATATACATGAACTTAATAATACGAATAGAAACGCGAACGGTATTGTTAAGAACGGTAACACTACTTGTTTCCAAAATGATGGAAAATTCAATTCATCGCCAAATTCGTTATACCGCCAGGATTTCTGAATTACAAAAGGTGGCGGTTTATCGAGAATTGACTGTATATACTACGGGTTTAAAATTCATTTATTACCACAGCAAAAGATGTGTTAAAAAGTGAAACATCCCCGTATGACAGCTTATGACGAAAGTTGAAGTCTCTCAAATGCATGTCAAATTCCAAGGTCTAAATCATAAAGTCAAAATTGTTGTCTGTTGTTATCCAAAGAAAGGTCTTTTCATTTATAAGTGATAAACCTGTGAAATTTGAAAGCTATGTTACTAATTGTAAAAGTGTTATGGCCAAGGTTAAAGTTTTAAAAAGTGGGTTAAATTCTACGGTCAAGGTAAAAAATATGTATACAACTGTACTCATTGAAATGCCTAAAATGTCACAATGAATAAACATGTGAAGTTACTGTTAACATGGTTAGAGTTTTGTTTTTGTTTGTTTGTTTGTTTGTTTTTTGTTTGTTTTTTTTTTTGCTTTTTTTTTTTGCTTGTTTGTTTGGTTTTTTTGTTGATGTAAAAGTGGGTCAAACTCCACGGTCAATGGCTCAAATTGGTAATACCCAAAGAAAGGCCTTTGCCAATTATTATGCCCCCTTCAAAGAATGGAGGGCATATTGCTTTGCTGCTGTCTGTCCGTCGGTCCACTTAGTTTCCGTTTATTTTTCTTCACAACCGTTGCACATACTGAAAAGAAATTTCCGTTCATTTTCTTCACAACCGTTGCACATACTGAAATTAAATTTGGTATACAGATATATCAGACGAATATCTAGGGCTAGTTCTGTTTTAGGTACGATCGCGCCATTTTTGACAGAGTTATGCCCCTTGGACTGAGAAAAATTCAAATTATTTACAGTTTCTTCATTTTCTTCACAGGGGTTGCAAATACTGAAATGAATTTTAGTGAAACTTTGAAACTTTTTTTCACTAAAGCCCCCACAGAAATATGCAACCATATGTTTCTGCCAATTATTTGTAAATATTTATAAATACTTTCAGAGGAAAGGTAATGGTAATTGTCTAAAATTCTACGATAGTTTATCTACATAACCATATATGGGATGTTTGTTTTTATTTTCTTTTATCTCCGTAAACAGCGTCAAAACTCGATCTGCTCACCGAGTGGAAAAGTCGAGCTTAACCAAACGGTCACAGGGGGTGGGGTTGGGGGTAATATCAGTGCGTTTTTTAGGAAGAGGTTCTGAGTTTAATTCGGAGTTCGATACTTTGTGTTATTAGTATATACTACGGGTTTAAAATTCATTTATTACCACAGCAAAAGATGTGTTGACAAGTGAAACATCCCCGTATGACAGCTTATGACGAAAGTTGAAGTCTCTCAAATGCATGTCAAATTCCAAGGTCTAAATCATAAAGTCAAAATTGTTGTCTGTTGTTATCCAAAGAAAGGTCTTTTCATTTATAAGTGATAAACCTGTGAAATTTGAAAGCTATGTTACTAATTGTAAAAGTGTTATGGCCAAGGTTAAAGTTTTAAAAAGTGGGTTAAATTCTACGGTCAAGGTAAAAAATATGTATACAACTGTACTCATTGAAATGCCTAAAATGTCACAATGAATAAACATGTGAAGTTACTGTTAACATGGTTAGAGTTTTGTTTTTGTTTGTTTGTTTGTTTGTTTGTTTTTTTTTTTTTGCTTTTTTTTTTGCTTGTTTGTTTGGTTTTTTTGTTGATGTAAAAGTGGGTCAAACTCCACGGTCAATGGCTCAAATTGGTAATACCCAAAGAAAGGTCTTGCCACAAGGAATACTATATACACATGTGAAATTCTGAAAGTCATAGCCTGTAATGGGCAAGGTTAAACTTTTTGACAGACAGCTCTGACGGACGGACAAGGCAAAAACTATGTACTTCCGAATCCTCGATTAGAGAGGCATATAAATATTTGTGATTAAAGCGGCAATTTTCAAAGCGTATATTATGACTATCTTTGCAAAAGCTAAAAACAAACAAGATGTCTTTCTGAAACACTGATCAATGTCCCCGTATGGCAACATATAGCGAAGATCGAACTTTTGTTAAAGCGACAATACGGCTGCATATCGTGTGCTTTTTCATTCAAATTTACCAAATATATCATTCAGGAATAAGGTAAAAAGTTGAAGTAAGCATTTGAGAAAAATAAATATTCCCTCCTGAAACAAAATTAACGTAATTAGAATCTGCCGAAAAATCAAGGGTCGGTAAAGTTAGATCTGTTTACTTGTACCACGTGAATTCAAAAATGGCACGTGCATTTTCAACTATAATGGAATATTAAGTAACAGCAATTCTGAGAATCAAAATATCTTAACTCTCCGGTAAATTAATAATAGTTAACATATTAGTCTGCATTCAGACGAATTTAACATGATTAAGTACAAATGTTGACGTTTTGTGTATTTGGGGTGCAGGAAAGGAAAATCCACCAAATCATACCAGGGTTCGACATTCGCGCTCGTCACCTCGTCATTTCCACCCTGAAATGATTTCGGACGACCTGATTTTCAGTTTGGCTCGCCCAAATGACGACCTGGGACAAGTTGGGAATATTTAGGCCTAATAATGATGTTTAATATTTTAAACTAAAATTCATAAGACCTTCAAAACATATTTTCCTGTGACAAAACCAACCCATTCAACATGTTCAAATTGCAGCCAAGTAGATTTTTTTCCCTGCCAAACCTGCGTCAATCAGCTGATGCAATTTTTACTGAAAGTCTTTAATAAAGTTTTATTTGAGATATAAAATATGTCAACTTAGTCAACGATCACCTTAAATATAAATAGTATAAATAATCTTCATTGAAACATCTTGCATTTCCCCTACAACTTTCCGATCATAATGATCGTTTTCTGCTGCTAGACAGCCATGTTGGGTGTCCACTGTAATATAACACGTGATTAATTCAGTCCAGGGTTATTTGACCCCATTTATTTAGGCCTTCATGGCAAGTGAAAATAAATATTTTAAGCTACAAATTTTAGCATTCTAGCATGTCTGATTCTGCTTATATTTTTGTTTGATAAAATACCAGAAGACATCTTTACATTCCAAAAATGTATGGTTTACATTTTTTAATACAAACCCACAACTTCTATTAATTATCATAACAAATTTTAAACGATTTTCACATTAAGTTTTGTTTCAATTGATATTTTATTTGGACGACCTGAAATTCATTCGGGCGACCTGTGATCATACCAAGGTTGCCCGAATGGCGAGACCAAATTTTGACGAGTGTCGGACCCTGTCATACGTCACCGCGGCAAAATATCAAACAAAATATCTTTTCCAATTCCGTCGACACGGTCGCCTGTTGCCATCAAAAAACGTCACTCCCTATGCCGGTTTCGTTACGTCTACACGCACGAATTCTTCACTGAAAACCATCAAACTGGATCCATTAGCAATCAACTTGACCATTTGACTCTTTACACTTCCTCCAGTTTTGGCGGAACAAAACTTGATGGTAAATTTTCAAACAAATTTTTCAAAGACCGACGAAACTTCAATGTCCGTCTTCTGTCACCGGCTGTCCTCAGGAGTACTGCATGCGAACTTAAGTTTTCAGAATCGGCATGTATCTCATCGTTATGCCGGAGTGCGAGGTGCCCTACACTCCGACAGTTGTTACAGATCGGTCTCCCGTCGATGGTCCTAGGATTTCGGTCCGGTCTTTGGCGGAATCCACAGCCTCGTCCTCGAAGGTTTTGCAAAATGTATTGTTGCTTAGAGGTGAATAGTCTGATCTTGTTAGTTATCACCGACACCTTAGCTGTGAGTTTTGCAAATGCAAGGGACTTTTCCAGCTCCTCTGTTCTTATAGAGCCGCACGACTTACATCTATCTACCACTGTTCCCCTGGCCATCCGGACGTCCACCAGAAAGTTATTGCACTCATCCCTCTTTGCGTGCCTGAAAGCTTCCTCGAATGTTTTAGGAATGGGAGGTAAAACATACCTCTTCATTTCGGGCCTTAAACCTTGCACGAAATGATCCTTAGTGAGAGTTTCATTTTGCCGTCCAGGCATGTCCATGTATGCATGTGTAGCGAGCTCCGTTATGTTTCCATCATAACCCTCTACAGTTTGCTTCTCCTGATTTTCCGAGTCATTTTCTTCACAAAATGAACAAAGGTTGATTTCCCAAAGTATCTGTTGACATGGTTAAGTTAATCCATCCGCTGGTCACCATAATATGTGACGGGGGTCCTCCCGTTACTGGCACTGATTAATAATTACAATTGTTTTATTTGCATCTTTTATTTACATATTTACAACACACGCACTATATTCATAAGAATGCACAAAGTTCACAATTAAAAGACACTTCCACTCTCATTTACTTCCAAACTTATTCTCCTTCTTTCTCCCACGTGTTCTCAGGGCATGGCCATACCAAATCTCTTATTCCCAGTTTTTCACACAAATCAACGTAATGCTCACTTTCACCTCTCAGAACTCTATCACGCACAATAAACAACGATAGCAGAAATGACAAACAAATTCTGAATCCGTACTTGACCACTCTCTTTCTCTCTAACTAGCTAAGATGACACTCTTAAGAAACAGAGCTACAACGCCTGCGCCGCGCACCTGCAACCTATCCGAACTTCTAACTCTCTCATTCACAATTTATTAAGTTGGGTGATTGCTCTGCGACACTATAACTGTATAAATCCCGGAATTTCTCAGTGAAGTCATAAAGGGTCGACGGGCGTTCATTGGATTACATATATATGCTACTGGGTTTGAAAAATAATGCATTTCACACGTTAAAAGTCACAATCAGGCAAATAAAAAGTATGATTAAGTCACAAATGTAGATATAAGTAGCCTAATAAGGTATCATTTAAAAACATCTATCGGGCTATAAATACGGAGAGACAGACGGACAGATTGACAGACCAAAATTAATATCCCCCACTTTCAGCGGGGACAATCATCAAAACAAAAAATGCAGAAATGAACTCAATTTGGAAATTCTCTACTTCCCATGTGAAAGTCAATCCAATGAACAAGTTCTATTGGAATCTCATTCCTAAAGGGAATGTTTTCCTCTATAATAACAGATGCTGCAAGACATTTAAGACTTCTATACTTGGGATTATTCAGAATAGGATAAAATTCTGTACCCTCAGCTTGATCCAGTGCAGTTTGAAATCCATGATCTTCATTAGTTCTCTGATCTACATGCAGTCCTCTCTCTACTGCAATCTTAACAATTCTTCTAAGTTGATCGTCTGTACTTTCAACTTCGTCTTTGGGAAAACACTCGTATATATTTTCCTCAAAATTCTCAATGCTAGTTGTAAAAAACCAATGCAGAATGTTCAATTCCAATTCATTTAACTCGTGAATTGAGGCTCCACTGTCTAGGAGCATCTCCATAATTTCTGGACCATGACTAAATTTATGATCGTCTTCCTCATAATCACTGTCCAGAAGCAACATAGGACACACGATACTATGCATCAATCCGATTGGTCCACACTCGCTGGAATTCCATGCACTGACAATGGCTTCCATTGCCTTCCTTAGATTGCAGGTATCTTCCGCTGATAAACTTCTTGATAAAATAGTGTCCATCAAATATAATAAACCAAGTTTATCCTCTTCGGAGGGTACTACACAAAGTTCCAACATCATCTGAAAGGCACTCACATGGAAAAACATCAACACATCCAATAATTCCTTTGTTGTGTATTTGTCACTGTTACAGTAAAAGTGATTTAGATGGACGGGTCTCTGAGTTACATTGGCAACACTGCAAGGATCTTCATAACTTTTTATTGCTGACCTCATATCATAAAAAGTATTGAGCCTTTTTTCCAAAACCTTTTCATTTTTCAGGAAATTGAAATGATATTTCAAACTCTTCAAAAGATGATGGGTCGCCATATTTTCCTCACAAACTCCTTTACGTAAAAGTTCAAAATACACATTGCATCCATTCAGATAACAAAAATTGCCACATCCTATAATTCTTTCATGAATCAGGAGGCCAAGAATAAGTCTTCTCTTTTTCTCTCCTGCAGTGCAAATTAAGTCCAAAAACTCAGAATTTTCTGTATCAGGTTCTACTACACTGTCAAAGAAAATTTCCCTTCGGGGCATTTTGCTAGAATTTGGAATACTGTGTTTTCTTCTTTCAACCAAAGCACGTTTGTAGGTGTTCACTCCTCCAACGGACTCATTCTCATGGACACTGAATATCTGCTTTGCTGCATAAAGTTCCAAGATTTCTATACGAGTTTCATGATTGAAGTCGCTGAAATCACTATATGTATCAATGAACTCATTAATGTCTGTAATGTGTTTATATATGATGGCATACTGTAGCGGTGTTCTTCCCTTTTTGTTACGAACTAATAACCTGGCACCCTTGCTCTTTAAAAAGTTCAGAACTTTATAGAATAAACTTCTATCGAACTTCCTTTTAAGCTCTACATTCTCTCGGTGATTATATTTCATCAAGTAATGCAGTGGTGTGTTACCTTTGTCATCAACACAATTCACATCCATTCCCTTTTCGTTCACTAAAAATTCCATCATACGAAGAAGATGACACTCTACAGCTAAATGAAGAGGGTTTTCAAACAAAGTAAAATCTACAAAACAGTATCTCTCAAGTCCACCGCGAACGTCTTCATTTTCATCCACCAAAGCATGTACATACAGATTATGTCCCAGATGTGAAACCGGTGAGAATGTTTCTACAAACTGATGAATGAAGATCTTTCTAGCCTCGTTGGCGTCAACGTCTGGTATGTCTGGGATTTTCTCAATGAAGTCTAAACACCTGGAATAAGTTGTGAGATTGTTTAAGACATGGATGCCATATAGAGCTCTCTCGATTTCTCCCCTCGGTGACTGGAATCCTAAATGATCACAAGAATGTGCTTTTGAAATTATAACTTTCTTCTGTTTATAAACATCCAGAACATTTTGAAAAATCGGATCAGCCATCTTAGTGTAGTATCTGAAAAATATAGATTATTATAAATGTATAGATATACATATAGAAAATCCAGCCCCAGCAAAAACTATTATAAACTGAGGAATCGCTGGATTCTCGTAGTGGCTCAATTTTATGGAATTGGTTGGTACCTCTTCTCCATTAATTAATAACCTCAATGAATTGGTAAACTCTGGTTACCAAGTCATACTTCCTTAGTAGGCAAAAGAGAATACACAAAATTATGTCCCCATGAACCTGTAAAATTTTAGCCAAAAATTGGCCCTCACGAACTTTAATGATTCCAAAGAACTTGAATTCAATTGATATTTATAATGTAAAATTACATATTTTCATGGGGTTAAATTTTTCTGGGCTAATATTGTTTTGTGGGGTTTTCATATCATGGTTTGAGAATGAAAAATAGTAATGCATATGAAATTTTACATTTTGTGGTGGACATAAATTTGTAGGTCTCTTCATACCTCTAAAACAATGAAAATTAAACCCCAGTGAAAATTAGTGATTTCACAGTATGTGTAGATTTTTGTTTACAGGGGGATAAAATTTTCAGTAACTTGCATACTGCATAGCTAGATGCACTTCAAGTAGCTAAAATGCTCAATTCTTCCATTGCAGTGAGGTCATGCACATACATGCACACTGTTTCATAATTATACATGATCATTAAGCAGTAAGTAATTTTTTCATTACATTTACTAGTAGAGCATTCTATACATATGAACATTATTGTAAAGAAAACAAGCTTTTGACAAACAAATGGATGAAATATTGTATCAACACTCTTGTTCATATAGTCATCATATGGAAGGAAATAAAGTGCCGCGCCACAGCATGATACGCCCGTCAAAAAATTACGATTTTCTTGAACAGTTTAGGTGCAAGAAAATCACATCAACCTTGATTCTAAGATTTCGATGATTTTTCCATTCCTTAAAATATTTATCCATCCCCTGTGATGTAGGCATCAATTATAATAAATATTACATCACTGATAGATTTCTGTGCTGGTTGTGTTAGACCTTGTCAAATGCCCATCATCAAATTAGTCTTAACAACTTAATCTATACCAAATTAATTTTGAAAAGAAAAGGCTGGCCATCAAATGACATATGTTATAAACTGACCAGCAGTTCTTCTGTCTAATCCCCAAAGGGTACAGATAAGGTCACTGCTTAATCAGAGTGACTGAGACAGCTAGCCTTCCTACATTAAACTCATTAATTAATCTTTAACTGGATGCTTGTCTACTCAGTACTACCAAGAGATGAATGGGTCTGCACTATCTACTATAAATTTAATAAAGTACTCAAAGTTTTTTTTTTTGGTTGAAATTTAATGTCCGACAGGTTTTAATATGTAATTCATATGGACATGCTGATTCCACCCCACCCCAAAAAATTAGTTTTTAAATTAATAATATTACATATATGTAATATCAGATTAGCCTATTATGCAATATCAAATTAGTTTTAATTACTTTTCATCAAATTCATTTTAAAACTTAAGCTAGTCAACAAGAGCTACTTTTAATCAAACAGGCTTACCCATTTGCCCAATACTCAAGGGATATAGATAACACCAATGCTAGCTCCTTGCACTCAAAACCCATTAATTTCTCTCTAATTTGACATGCAGTTTTCTGTTATCAAAATTCTTCTTGACCAGTGCTTGATAATTACACTCATGGGAGAGGCAGGATTTCTCTGACATACATTGTACATTGTATTTGTTATAGATTGCTGTCAAGTATATGCTTAAAAAAAAATAAGTATTTTCTTGATTTAACATTTTTTTAATCAAAACAGTGCAATACTCTTACATTATTTGGGATGTGTAAATGAATAGTAAAAATACACTTTTTTTTTTAAAAATTCACTTAAATTAAAGGTCACAGTGACCTTGAAATAGGTCGCGACACACCTTCTACCTAAGATGCATAAACTGGCCAAGTTTGATGATTGTAGGTCTTATGGTTTTCTAGTTATGGGCCGGAAAGGCTTTTTCCATATTTGGCTATAACTTCTTAAATAAAGGTCAGAGCGACCTACTTTTTGTGCGCGACACACCTTCTACCCAAGATGCATCAGATGACAAAGTTTGATAATCCTAGGCCTAGTAGTATTAAAGTTATGAGCCGGAAATGAAAAAGCTAACAGACAGACGGACAGACGGACGGACACGAAGCCTATAACATAATACGTCCCGTCTTAAGACGGGCGTATAATTAGTGTAAAAGTCTGTGTATCTTGCTTTTATTCTTCCTACTTATTTACTAGTATTCTTTGGAATTATTGTAACTGTATGTCACTTTATTGTTTTCATATTAATGCTTATTACATTTCACTTTAAACTTTTAATTTATTCTTTTCAATTTGTTTTCTTTGTTTTAAATTGATACAGGTTCTTTATGAAAGGGGGGCTGACTGTATAGTGAGATTCAAAGAAATTCACAGTGAAATGTAATAGGCCAAAAAAATAATAGTCTTGTTTCCTGCTACCAGCCTGAAAAAAAAGGTAGGTAGGTAGGGAAATTATTTTGTTTTTCTTTTTTATTTTATTTTTTCTGGCGGTGTTTCTTTGGATATGTTCTAATACAAGATCAAATTAAACATGTCATATGTCAATATTGCCTTTTAATATTTACCAGTAATGTCATGTCTTTTGATGCACAACTCAAGTGGTATTTTATGAAAGTCCTTATTTAAAACATAGAATTTTATAAAATACCACTTGAATATATTTTTTTTTCAGTTTTGGAACATATGATATTCCCAAAATTCCTGATTCCCCCCCCCCCTTCCCCAAAAAAATTAAGGGTCAGGTGCAAAAAAAATAGGGTAGGTCGGGTAGCAGGTGACAAGACCGTTTTTATTTTTGGCCTAAACAGCTGATACATGTAAGCACGAACAGTTCCAGTCCAAAGACTATTTCCACATACGTAGCTATTAATAGCTACCTAGGTATTTAAAGCTACCCAAAGTATCTATTTTTAAATATTCTCTGCTCTACTTGCATTTTGTGGCCAAATGCAGGAACAGAGCAGCATGGTGAGCACAAAATTTCTTGATAAAGTCACACTGATGATGGATATGACAAAAATTTGGCCAAAAAATGATTACATGTACTTCATATATAATCAATTTTGCATAGAAACTACTAGTTAGACAGGTCCAGTCCAAAGACTATTTCTACCTACGTAGGTATTAATAGCTACCTAGGTATTTAAAGCTACCCAAAGTAGCTATTTTTACCTACTTTCTGCTTTACTTGCATTTTGTGGCCAAATGCAGGAACGGCGCAACATGGTAAGCACAAAATTTCTAGATACAGTCACACTGATGATGAATTTGACAAAAATTTGGCCAAAAATTGAAAACTTCGTATATTATCAATTTTGCATAAAAACTAATGTAAAATTGCCGATTCAGGAAGTACTCATTTTTTGGCCAAAATTTTGTCGTATTCATCATTTGTGTGACTATCAAAAAATATGTGGTGAGAGTAATAAGGCCTAAAAAAAAATAAGTTTGTTTCCTGTAACCCGACCGACCCATTCAAATTACCCCCGGGGGGATTTTTTTCCTGACAAATGGCAAAACTTCGTTTGATCAATCAGCTGATTCCATTTATTAAAAACAGAAAATTAGCTTGTAGCTTAAATTGAGACACAAAATATGTCAACCTAGTTTACATTTTAAATTTTACCTTCTTTATTAAGAGTAATCATTATTACAACAACAATTCCCCCCTACAACTTTCTGAACTCAGACTGAAGTTCGTTTTCTGCCATGTTGGGTGTCCACTGTAAATATATGACACCTGGTATATTCAGTCTGAGGATGTTTGACCATTCATAAGCGCAAAAAAAAAAAAAAAAAAAAAAAAAAAAAAAAAAAAAAAAATTCCGGACCTACCGACCCTTAATTTTTTGGGAATGTTACAGGAAACAAACATATTTTTTTTAAGCCTTAGTAAGCAGAATTAGATACATCAGACATTTGGCGGTAATCCCCTTCCATATAATCATTCAGCAAGTTCTATAGTTGAAGGCAATGACCTTGGCTGCAAATATCCATCTGACATTAATTAAAATAGCTCATTATGCTGATTGTAGCAATGGAAAAGCAAAGGGCAGTAACTCTAAAATTTGCCAAAATTTTTTTGTCAAAAAATGGTGTAAAAAATAAACAAAAGGGTGGTAGTGTATTACGGGCTGGTACAGTGAGATGATGACATGTACAGTCTTAATTTTTTTTCAGAAACCTTCTTGAAGTATTACTGCAAGTGTATATCGATGAAAATCAATTAACTGCATCATTTTTATGGGAAAAAAATAAAAATGAAATATTTCTTTCGAGAGAAAAAATTGAATTTCTGAATATACATCAAGAAGACCTGATTTTTATAAAACAGTGAAGTAATTTCTATGAGAATTTGATCTAAAATATTTTTTAAAACCTTGTATTCAACGCCAAATCAAGTTATATCACATGGCTTATTTTTGCCCGATAAGGTTATTTGCCCTTTGCTGTCAGGATCCTAGTAAATTGCTAGGTGCAAAAAGGTCACAACACTATGTAAATATCTTGCTTTCAACAATTTAGTTTATTTTTACTTTGTAAGATTGCATACGATGAAGGTCGTGCCGGGGGGGGGGGGGGGGGGGGGGGGGGGGTATGCAGCTTATAACAGTGTCGGCTTTAAACGTTTCATATTAATTTTATTAATTAAAAGTTGAAGATGGTTTACTAAATACACAAATACACTCAAGAAATGATAATTTACTTAATTGATGATTCCATTCAGCGTTTCATCATTACCCCCCCCCCCCCCTTTTACCTATCAAGCCAAGCTTATCCATATCAACTACAGATTACAGATCGATTTGATTTACTTCATATAAGTTAAAATAAATCAATACTTTAAATTGAACTTAGAAATTAAAGTAAATCAAGCAGAACTTTGTACATCACATCTGACTGAGAGAAACAACAGCTGTAATGTATAAAAGTAGGTAAATGAGAAATTATGGGATTTAGAATCGAGTCATTTATCTTCTTGAAAATGTCAGAATATAAATAAATTATGCAATTTCAGAAATATCTGATCATGTTAACAAGATTCTATCTTGCAAAGAATAAAAAAAAGGTTGAAAACATGAGCACATTTCGAGCTTAAAATTTCTGGCTACCATACAATATTTGATTTTCATGTTATCAATATATTATCTACACTACAAAACAATTTAATTACATATTTTTGTTTATATACTTAATTAAAAGTAATCTGCATTAAATGAAGAACTGCAGCTTAGTAGATTTTGTCCCTTTAATTTTTTTAAAAAATGGCAACACTTTTTGTTTCAAGATAGGAAAAGTTGATAACAAAAAAAATATCATAACTTCTTAATTTTTCAACCGATTTAAAAAAATGAAGCCGTTTTGGATATGGTATTGAAGGCTCTTAAATATAAGGCCTAAAAAAAAAATAAGTTTGTTTCCTGTAACCCGACCGACCCATTCAAATTATCCCCGGGTGGATTTTTTTCCCCTGACAAATGGCAAAACTTCGTTTGATCAATCAGCTGATTCCATTTATTAAATTAAAAAAATAGCTTGTAGCTAAAATTGAGACATAAAATATGTCAACCTAGTTTACATTTACCCTAAATATAAAGAGTAATCATTATTGTAACAACAGTTTCCCCCTACAACTTTCTGAAGTTTGTTTTCTGCTGCTAAAGGCAGCCATTTTGGATGCTATGTTTGGTGTCCACTGTAATTATAACACCTGGTATTTTCAGTCCGGGATGTTTCACCATTCATAAGCAAAAAAAAAAAAAAAAAAAAAAAAAAAAATTTCCGACCTACCGACCCTTGATTTTTTGGGAATGTTACAGGAAACAAACTTTTTTTTTTTTTTAAGCCTAAAGCATTGCTTTTCAATCTGAGAAGTGCTTTTAAAAATCATGTTCCATAGCTACTGATTGACAGTTTTTCATTCTAATCATGCTAATTTGCGTAACATTGCTACATGATAAGGAGCACAAAGCGGGTGTGACCAGTCGACAGGGAATGCTCACCTCAAGATAGCAAATCTAAGCGATGAAACAACACATAGCTTCATAGAACTTTATGATAATATTTCATCTAAACTGCACTGTCTCTACTTTCTATTCACGGCACTTGTTAGGTCGTTCAAGAAATACTTCGTTTTTTATCATTTAGGCCCCGGCTTATAACTTTTAGTGGAGTATCACCTTATGACTTTCATATTTCACATGTACATACATACATTCCCTGTGATAAGACCTTTTTGGGTTACCGCCAAATTTGACCTTTCGACCTTGGCCTTGGAGTTTGACCCACTTTTACTAAAAAATTCTGAACTTACTTCAAAAGTCATAACTTTTGAACAGTACATATCCATACTAGTATTTTCATACTTCACCTTTTGTATTCTTTGTGACAAGACCCTTTATTGGATACCAACAACTTTTACATTTTGACTTTTGATATTTCAGTACTTATATAAAAAACTTTAACATTGGTCATAATTATGGCCGGTAAGGGTAAGGACTTTCATACCTCACATAGGGCCCTATGTGAAAAGACCTTTCAATAGACACCAACATCTTTGACCTACTTTTTAAAAACAATTTTTGACCATAACTTTTGAAGAGTTAGGGCTAGGGCTTGAATACTTAACATATTTTATCAATGTGACAATTTTTCATTGGTACCAAGAACTTAACCCTTTGTATGGCACGCCAAAGTCACAAAAATGAGCAAAACATAGGGCGATTTGTTTCTCAAAAACTGGGTTTAGTTTTGAATCAGTTTTGTAACTATTCATTTGTTCCACAAACTGGTTTTAAACTTGTTTAAACCCAGAACCGGATTTCCATTTGTTTTTCCTGTAACTGAAACCAGTTCGTTAAACAAACTAAACCACCTCCGATAGTGACCAGTTTCTTCGGTTTACGACAGAGCGGGAAGTATTCCAACGTTCATTGAAATCAAAAACCGATGCACAGAATTATGTATCTTAGTGTAGTCTACTTGTGTGCCAAGTTACATTGAAATCGGACCAAAACTGTAGGAGGAGTGGGTGCGTTCAGAGTATTTCCAATGGTACCATCACCTCTTTGCCAATGGTAACAATTTGTACCATTGTTACCTTTGGATCCCTATGTACTCTGAACGATTTTTGGGTAGAGTTGGTAGAAAACTCACATATGTTAACAACGGCACCATTGGTGTACCATTTGTGACATTGGTGTATATCATTGTTAACATTGACAGATTCATTAAAAGAAAATGTCAAACCAAGATTATTATTCTTGATTCATGAATCATTTTGTAGCAAGAGAATGCTTTCAGTAATACTTTTTAGTACTGTAAAGTACTTCTACACAACAGAATTTTCTCCAAATTGTATTCCGAATTGTCAAATGTAAAATAATTAAATCAATAAAATTTTTATTTTACATTAAATAGACTTGAAATTTATTAAAATAAAGATTCTGAAACTTTCAGTCAAGAAAAACCACATTTAAAAAGACGTTTCACACCTACATACATGTACATAGAGTTTATGCATATAGGTGTGGTAAAAACATTACAATGATTCGTTACTTTTTCAATTTTTTTCCCCAGGGAAAACTTTCATAGAATAATCTTGTTATTAATTTTATAGATAGAAAACAATTTATAGAGTAAAAATGAACTCAATTATGCATAAAATTTATTAGAATTTACCAAATACCGCCCGGTAAACTTAGAGATCTCTCGGGTTCTCTGTTTAGTAGGACCGACTTGATCAGTACCCGCCATTTTGTTTGACGTCATTAAAAAAGTTACCATCGCTAACAGAGCCCTAGTTCGTCTGCAGAAAAATCTACCTATGGTAAATTTTTTCGGCAAACTTTGGTACCATTGGCTTACCAATGGTAAAAAATTCTACCAGTGGTAACTTTTGTCAGCCAACGGTAGTACTCTGAACGCACCCATGGCGTTGATGAAAGATGGTGACTATTCTAATAGATGAAAAATTTATAAATAATTGTTTTTTCGAGGACAAAAAACTCTTTTGACTAAAATGTCACATTCTGATATTTGATGTATTATATATACAGGTCCACGCAGTTAATAAACAAGCGAGGTTACAGCGGATGCCCTGGACAAACGTCAGGATATGTATGCGCGAGAATGTTAGAGAGTTTGCCCCTAACAGCCTAAGACAACTTGATTGAGTCATATTTATATGGAAGCATTCGTAGTTAGTGTAGATTCAACTTTGTTCAAATCATGTTAAGGCTTCAGATAATAGATAAATGCTGCATATTGAAATAATGGTGATTATTCAATAATGATGAAAAAATATGTTAAATATTCCTTTTCTAAAATAAGTTTTGAATCATTTGGACTAACTTCAACATTTATGGTAAATTGTAGAACAAACTGTAAAGACAGGTTAAATATTGGAAATCTAAAGAGTAATTATAATACCAGAGTGTTTATCTTTCCATGTGTAAAAAAAAAAATGGAAATTGTTCATTTCAATAACTTCGAGGTATTAAAAATATTTATACTGCACTTTAACTATAAGTAAGATAATCAAAGAATATAAATACGTTAAAATTTCTTGGATTCTTTTATTAAGAAAAAGATTTTAACAAATATATTTGCATGTGTAATTTGGTTAATATATGTATATGGCACGCCAAATTCACAAAAATGAGATAAACCTAGTTTCACAATTGATAAACTAGGTTTATCGACTGTAAACTATAGTTTACAAATCGTAAACTATAGTAAACGATTCGTTAAGTATAGTTTTCATCGTTGAAACTATATTTAACAGTTGTAAACTATAGTTTACGAATGATAATCTAAGTTTATCTGTCTGTAATAAGCGTTAACAATAGATTTTGTTGATAAACGTAGATTCACGTTTGTAAACTATACAGTTTACAATCGTAAACTATAATCAAGAGTTGTTAATCATAGTTTCACAAATCGTGAAACTATATTTATCAGATCGTTAACTATAGTTAACGGTTTGTAAACTATAGTTTACAAATCGTGAAACTGTATTTATCAGATAATCTATGTTATGCAATCGCAAATGATTGTTCTAAGTGTAAAGTATAGTTTACGGTTGTGAAACATAAATTATCACGTTAACTATGGTTTACGGATGTAAAATATAGATTAACGTTGTTAACTATAGTTTACAGTCCGTAAACTATAGTTTACAACCGATAAACCTAGTTTATCGACTGTGAAACTATGTTTAGCTCATTTTTGTGAATTTGGCATGCTATACATGTATGTTGCTCTGCATCTTTTTGGCGCCATCTTGTCACAACTGTTCATTTGTTTTACCGAGGTAAACCGGATCGAAATTTAAACAAGTTCGAAAAACTAGTTTTAAACCTTTACTAAAACCTGAACCAGTTTATGTGCAACAAATTCGCCCATAGTTTCACAGTCGATAATCTAGGTTTATCGGTTGTAAACTATAGTTTACGGACTATATATAAACTATAGTTAACAACGTTAAATAATCTATATATGGCACGCCAAATTCACAAAAATGAGCTAAACATAGTTTCACAGTCGATAAACTAGGTTTATCGGTTGTAAACTATAGATTACGGACTGTAAACTACAGTTAACAACGTTAATCTATATTTAACACCCGTAAAACATAGTTAATGGCGGAGATTTTTTACCGGGTGGTAAATTCCAGGTGAGGGAGGGGCTTATTTTGAACAGGTGTGAATGCCTTGGAGGCTAGCTGTCTACCTGTGGTCATCTGTCGTCTAATCCCTATACACAGGAAGTGATTTAATACACAGTGACTGAAATACCCCAGATGTCAAACTTTACCTTTGTTGGGGATTTTGAGACAATTTTAAAATTAAAAAAGTTTTCTTTAATTTCTTATTGATTTATTTTTGACTGTTTAAAAACACTCCTACCTATTTTAAAAATACTAAAATATCATACTATGAATTCAAATATTAAAACAAAGATTGTTTTAGCTGTTATTGTATGTGTTAATTTAAAGAAAACAACTCTTGTAACAACCAAATTAGACTTAATGCATTCATCCCCAGGATCCCATCTATTAATTAAATGAAAAGAGAGCTGTGTGAATTACATTTAACCCAAAATATATGCAGTTTATAGGTCTATTTTAACCATGATAAGGCTTTGTCACCATGAAACAAGCTTATAAATTCTCATTTGAATAAAAAGGAAAATGTAAGTGACCCATGATAAGAAACATTTTTTTATTTTATTACCTTACACAGTGCTGCTCTAAACTTTATCAATAACATTTCCACTTTACCATTAAACATATTAAAAATAATATCGGAATTTCTTTTAAAAAAAAAAATTGTACTAAAGTTTATTTATATTTTTTTGGCTTTAAAAATGCATATTATATTATTTTCTTTTCAAATACTAAAGGTATAATATTTAATTCATATATTATCAATCTATAAATTTTCATAGTAACACAGTAATTCTGTATACCATGTTCAGTAATCATCAAAGGATCAAAAGTTGATTAGAAGGTGGCAATGAGTCCTAATCAAGGTGTACAGGGTATACACAGGGACCAGTCAGTAACTGTCAATCAAGTTCCAGCATCAAATAATGGACCTTCAAGCACTTGATTGACAGGGCTACCCAGACCAGGTATTTTTGAAGGCGGTGCTTAAAATCTCTGCCTTTAACGCCATAATCTATGTTTCACAACCATAAACTATACTTTACACTGAGAACAATCATTTGCGATTGCAAAACATAGATTATCTGATAAATACAGTTTCACGATTTGTAAACTATAGTTTACAAACCATTAACTATACGTTAACGATCTGATAAATATAGTTTCACGATTTGTGAAACTATGATTAACAACTCTTGATTATAGTTTATGATTGTAAACTATAGTTTACTAACGTGAATCTATGTTTATCAACAAAATCTATTGTTAACGCTTATTACAGACAGATAAACTTAGATTATCATTCGTAAACTATAGTTAACAACCGTTAAATATAGTTTTACAGATGAAAACTATACTCAACGATCCATTAACTATACTTAACGAATCATTAACTATAGTTTATGGTTTGTAAAC